TTAAAAACACAAGTGCCATTCATTTTTTTAGTAAAAACACGATAAATTGAACAAGTTACAATTATAAATTGAACAAGTTACAATTATCGGATCAACCTAATTTTTTTTGTGAATGAAATATACGGAGTGTCTAACAAAATAAATGTTTCAGATTATTGAAATGGGCCTGTGATGAGCCCCACGCCCAAACAGCCCCTCCAATACAGATTTTGGAACGGAGGGAATCCTCATATTCAGATAAAATCAGAGCTAACTAAACAAAAGAATGATTAACTAAAAACACAAACCAATCAGTAGACAAGAAAAGCAGAGCTGTGACATAGATTAGTACATACACACATGAATCAAAATCAAACCCTCAAGAAGAAAAACACAAAGTAAAAAATAAACAAATAAACAAAATCAGGAAATCAAGTGAATGATGTGGGTGGGGGTGAGGAAACAGACAGGTACCGACACGCAGACAGAACCAGTAACGATTGTCGGGAGAATAGGGATCGGAGGAGGCTGTGAAGTCCACAAACTTGGGCGCTTCGATCTTCTCGTATAATCAGTGACGGAGTAGGAAATTGAGTTGGAAGGAACACTGTGCTATTTTGGCAACTTCGAAAAACGCTGCGTCTGCGTCTGCTGCGTCTCCAGCGTTTTGGAGCAAAAGTTGATATGGGATGTGATTACAATCAACAATATGAAATTACAATACTACCCTCATGATTGGTGCAGGATGATGCAGGCCATTATATTGGGTGAGGGCATTTTGGTAATTTTATAATTGTACACCATGACAGGAGAACTTAGAAAAATATTATCTAAAAAAATAAAAAAGCAACTTTTTATCAACTTTCCAAGTCAATCCAAAAATCTTGGTTAAAAGCAAAAAAGTTAATTTTTACCACCTTCTCAAAATAGCCCACTATTAATTATAATTTTTTATTTAAAAAAAATATGATGAATATTGAGATAATTATATATTCATTATTAATATGAACAAATTAAAATTCTATAATAGTGTAAAATAATTTGGTGCGAGATGGTGATGTAAATTTGTAATTTTAGCAAAAAAAATTATGAATTAAAATTCTTAATTTTAGAAAATAAAAATACATTGTTTATAGTACAAATTATTATAAAATCTATTTAATTTTTATTTGATAGAAAAATATTAAAGAGATGACATTGCTTATAAATGATGTATTTTGAATGAAAATTCACTACAACATTTTCTTAGTTTAGTGACATTTGAAAGTGCCACAAAACTATTCTTCTAATGACATTTTTTGGTCTTGTGGCATTTTGCTGCTTGAAAATAATGAGTTTATTATATCCAATCTATAAGATTTTTCACTATACTATTGGTTTAAATTATTATATAAATAATATCACACAGTGATTTTAAAGTATCAAATAATTACTTGTTATGAATAATACAATAAATCCTTAACCAAAAAATATATTAAGAAAAAAAATACATGTATGGTAGTGATGTTGTTGTATACATGTATGGTGGTGGTGATTCCCCGAAAAATACCCCCGACGAGTCGGAGTGGTATTAAAAATTAAATCCCCGATGATATACGGGCCGGGGATGGGGGCACATGTTTCAGCCCCGAACCCGCAGACCTGCCCTGACCTTGGCCCCGATCCCCGCCCGTTTGCCCCGATGTAAAATTACTATTTTGCCGTTGTATATATATATATATATATATAACATATGTGTGTAGGGTTTGGTTAAACCAAACCTTAGCCTCATCCCAGTCCCTTCTATCTTCCTCTCTGTCTCTTCTCTCTCTCTCTCTATCTCTCTCTTCTACTCTCACTCCGCCGATCGTCCGTCGTCCTCTTCCGACACCGATCGTCCTCCTCCGTCGTCCATCGCCTCCTCCGACACAGATCTTAGTTTTTTTGAAACAGATTTTGTGTATGTATACAAATTTTTTTTGTGTTGTTGAAACAATTTTTTGTATGTGTGTGTATTATGTATACAGATTTTTTTTTAAATCTTTTTTGAACGAATATAGATCTGTTTGCGTGCATACAAATTTTTTTTAAAAAAAAAATTTGAATGAATACAAATCTATTTGTGTGCATACAGATTTTTTTTTTAAATTTTTTTTGAACGAATACAAATCTATTTGTGTGCATACAGATTTTTAAAAAAAAAATTTTTTGAGCGAATACAGATCTGTTTGTGTCTATACAAATTTTTTTTTTTTTTTGAACGAAAACAGATCTATTGTTGAAACAAATATGTTTGTGTGTATACATGTATGGTGGTGATGTTGTTGTTGATGGTGTTGTTGAACAAAACATATTTGGCCTAGGAAAATTTCGGGGTCGGGGAAACCCGATCCCCGTTAGGGGACGGGAATGGGGACGGTGATAGGTTTCCCGTCGGGGATCGGGGCCGGAGACGTGGAGATTTTCACAATCGGGGATCGGGGACGGGGAGTGTGATCCCCGGCCCCGCCCCGGCCCATTGTCATTCCTAGGCACGTGACCCCCTCGTCCTTCTTTGCCTCCGCTCCGCCAATGCATATAACTCCTCCTTCTCCTCCTCTTCCTCCTCCCCGCTACCTCCATTCTCTTCAATATTGAAGATCGACAATTGGGGTTTCTCCTCCATTTCTTCCGATGAGAGAGAGAGGGGGGAGGGAGAGAATTTTAAACACCTGACTTGACTGTCTCTGTAAGTAGCCGTTACAAAGTTCTCTTGTCTTCAGAAGGAAGTTGTAGATAACGGAATCCAAAGGCATATCTGTAATTTCACTTTTCTCCTAAAGATAAAGGAATTGATGCTTCCCCTGTTTATTATTGCTGGCTTTTATCATTTCAAACATAAGTATGCAATTAGGGCTGTAAGCAACCAATGAGTTTTGATTTAAAAATTTATGGAGTTTTAGTTGGTGTTTGGGTTTGCTTAATTGGTACTCTTTTTTTCTTTTTTGGGTGCCTATTTTCGACTTTAGTGAATTTTTTAAAATTTTGTAAAAAAATTTTAGGTTTCTAAATTTCAACTCGATGTTACAAAAAATTTAAAAAAAGTCCAGAAATAAGCAAAAAATTGTTGACTTTTTTGGATTATTTTGATTTTTCAACTTTTTTGGGAATTTTTCAAAAAAAAATATTTTTTTGATTCGTTTACACAAGACTAACTAGAAAAGTAAAATATTTTGACATAATTTTGAAAAAAGTCACTAAAAAATGACTTTTTTAGGTGTTTCCAAACAGCCATTAAGATATATTTAAACTTAGTTTATTCAAAATGAGATGTAACTAATTTAAACACAAATTAAATTATAGTAGTTTATTTTTTTATATAATTCTCCTATATTCAAAATCATGTGGATAATTATAATTGTGAGACACAAACACTCACTGGTATTCAATCTACAATTATGTGATAAATAATAAATTGTTTTATCAATTTTTGCTTGGTTTTTTATTCAATTAAATATACATGACATAGTTAAAACAAAAAGTTTAATTTGCTTTCTTAAGTAGTTGTTTGGTAACACTTTTTTTACTTTGTTTTTCAAGCTATCACACATATCACTTAAACTCTTCTAAACTATTAAATTTAACAACTGAATAAGCCACAATATGTTATTAACATACATATTAGTAGTTATAGTGGGATTCAATCATTGCATGTGTTAATTTATCATTCAATGATAATACTCGTGTTAATAATAATATAATATCAGTGTTAATAATAATATAACATCACTGTTACATGTTGAATTTTGACTCCAATTTGTGGTTAGTTGGAAGTCATTGCATTACATGTAAAATGGTTTTTGCAATTCATTTTTATGCCAACAGGTAGGATAGACCTCAATACAATCACCCTCTCAATTTTTACATTCATTTTTATGTAAATTTCATTTGTAGCATTGCTCTGATTTTGTTGATTTGCAGCAATACGAAACTCTGTTTTTATATCTTATTATTGAACCCTGACTATCATGACAGGCAACTATCTCTTGCTGCTGATTTTCATATTTGATTCCAACTTGAATTCAGAGTTTCGATTTAACAAGAAATCAATGTTAAAGATTTGTTTGATTTACTAAGCTTGCAATAACTATTTGCTTTCATTTTTCAGGCACCACTAGTCTAATGGGCAAAATAGATGAAATGAAACATTAGTAGATAAATTAATATATTTCTTATTGTGAAAAATAAAAAAATCAAAAGTAAGTACAAATTTAAATTATATAAACTCAAACATTCTAAAGATTACTTAAAATCATAGTCAAGATTGTTGTATTTTCAGTTTTTTTTTTTTTTTTTAAAAAGATTGTTATATTTAGTTTTTTTTTCCTTTTCATTTTTTCTTCAGTAATATTACAAAACTCACACATAATTATCCAAAAATTATCATCTTATAGTTTAGATTTATTTTACACAAACCTTATACTATACAAATTTAATCTCCACCATACAACTACTCACCTAGAAAATTCTAGGTGAATATGTCTGGTTTCAGACTTTTCCATTTCATTATGATTACAAATGAAAATGGAAACAATACTACAAAGAGAGATCATTAGATTGACTTCTGCACCCACCTCCTGGATCTTCTTCTTTTCTCTCCTTTGATGTTTCCCTCCTTGTTTTGCAATCTCAACTTGATTTCCTCGATCAATAAAAATAAATAAATAAAAATGAAGAAAATGAAAAAATCATAAGTTCAGTAAATGAACATAATTTTGACTGTGTTTCCCAAAATTAGTTGAGTTGGGTCTCAAGGACAAGCAACAAAGTCACTACACATATAGTCACTACACAAATATGATGAGATGAAATGCATAAACATGAATGTATATTCGAATTGACATCTATGAATATGCATGAAATTTTTTTGCATAAAGAGAACAACTGTCAACCAAACTAGGCGAGTGGCAACACCAGACACTAACAAGACTTCACCCTTAGAGCTTGCAAAGCTAAAGGAATAATAATGGCAATTATGAAAAAAAAAACCAATCAATAGTTCCTTAATCCACAATACAAGAGATAACAACAATCCACAAGTTCAGTCCAAGAGGAACATAACATGTCAGAGCATGTCAAAAAGTTTCACAACAATCCATTACACCAAATAAATTAGGGTTCTATAATTAAAATATAAATTAATGTCCCCAACAAAATAACGCAGAATAGCTTCAACACTCAGCACTCCACTCCAAGAATAAACTGCATAGCATTGTTCCTCTAGATCTGTAATACAGAAGTAAGTCAGTAACTATCTACCACAACTAATCATATCAAATAGAAGTAAATTATATATTTCAGTAAGTAAAGATTTTATATAAACCTTTCTATAGAAATGAAATGTGATTCAAGGGTGGGGGATAAAAAATCATGCACATCAGTTGTCATTTAAGTAAAACAAATCCAATAAGGTATATTCAATAATCATACAGTTCAAAAACTCAGGATTCACCGTTCAATATCTCAACAAATTAAATAACTTAATACAGACAGTCCAGAACTTAATGGTTCGATACACAAACTCAATTTTTTTTTAGTACAGTCACATTGGCTCGTGACAAGGCCGAAAATCACATTTAACTCTGCGATTAAAGCCTAAAAGAAACTAGTTTATGTGCCAACACTGAACCGCATTGGCTTAGTGTCCAAATCATAGTCAAACTAGATCCATGCTTGTGATAAAATTTATGAATCCACAATGAGCTTTATAAAACATTTTGATAGCAATAAATCGGTTAATCACAAATGATTTTGATACCTTCAAAGTTGGCAATTCTTATATTTGATCCTGATCATTTAACATAAACACCAGAAAGTATTAAAACATTTTATTTTCATAATAACAAAGTGAGGATCTCATCAACGTTTAAAACAATTTTCAAACAGATTATACATATAAAAAAATTTACTGGATGTGGTGGAGGGTCACTTACCTCCTTTACTGCACTTAAATGAATCCAAAACCACAAGCCAAAGAGTTCACAAAATTCTTAGTGCAACATTAAACAAGGAATACTACATGATTATAAATAATAATAAAAAAGTACTCCCCAATGAAAACTAGCTACCTCTCTCAGAAGGTACAACCTTTGTCAAGGATTGATTTGAATATAGTTTGCCATATTTTTAATCAGACACAATATAATGATATTTACCTTGTGAAATGGAATAAACAAAGGCTGAAGAGTGGTTTTGGTGTGGGGATCATCCCATTGCAGATATTCCCACCACTCTTCGTCTCCCCTAATGTGCTGACCAGGAGGTGCTGATGCATGCCCACTATTCATGTGGAAAGAAAGAGGCAGTCTCCTTAACATGGGACAGCTATGTACAAGAATATCTTGCAGAGATTCACAAACCATTATGCCCTTATATATGTTCTTCAGTATTGGTAGCTTTCCTAGTCGTAAACTCTTCAAATTTCGGAGTGTGATTGTGTTGCTATCATCTTGATGATGGCCTTGATATCTCATCTCTACTTCTACTATTATGTCTTCAACATTCTCACAATCAGACACAGTTAGTTCCTCAAGGTTAGGGAAGTTCTGCAACAACCGGTCAGGAAAAATATTCATGACACTGGAACATCTATAGAAGTACAATTTCTTAAGGTTAAAGGAAATGTTGTGTGGTGGAACAACTCCATCAAAGAGTACCCTAAATCTGGGTAAATCAAGAAGTCGTAATTCCTCGACAATTCTTAGTGGGATCTGGCAATCTTCTGAGAAGGATGATGATGAAAAGATGGATTCTATCCCATTACAGTATTGGAGAAGACAAATTCTCAAATGACCGGCATCCCTCAAGGACAGAATATCTGATAAGCTAATGAGATCCTCGCATCTTGTAATCCCAAAGTATTCTATGTTGCTGGGAAGCACCAATGAATCAACTCCAATCCCAAAAGGTTTAGAGTCAAAACTGATCGCATGAACTTCTTTCCCCACAGAATTGTTTATATATTCAAAATTATTTCCCACTTTAAGGCGGTAGTTTTCCAAGGCTTGGCATTGTTGAGATGTCACAAAACTGGCAAGCTCCTGCACATTGAGAAACTGAGCACCAAGAACTTTTAATTGCCTCAAGTAGCCAAAGACCTCTTGTGCTGACACAAAAGCTCCATTCTAAGGATTTGAAGTTGGGAGAGTCTGCATAAGGTCCAGCAAGGAAGCATATGTAGGCTTTTATTGAAGGAGAGGTCAAGATTTCTAAGATTGACCAATTCTTCCATACCTTGGGGTACTTCTCGAATCGGACTTCTACTCAGTTTTAACTCTTTTAATGCTTTCAGCTTCACCAGTGACGGCACATACTCTAAGCATACACAATTCACTACTAAGAGTGCATGCAAATTCACCAAGTTGGAGATGGACTCTGGCAGATACTGTATGTAGGTGTTGGACAAATCCAGTATCTTAAGACAATGCATAGCTGTAAAAAAGGAATCTGAAATCTTTCTTAATGGGATATGTCCCAATAGTAAGGTTGTGAGCCGATGGCAAATGGGTGGTTTAAAAGGAAGTTCTTTAATCGTGTTATACATTAAGGAAACCGTCTCAAGTTCCTCAGACCAGTTTGTATATGGTACTTTCTAATCCCTCACCAGATTGTACCATGAATCTAGGACTAGTTTTTGTTATTTTGAGAGCCATATCTCTGATCAAATCATGCATCCTCACACATTCTGTCCTATGTATCTTCGTACTTTCCAACAAGCAGGTATTTATGAGTTTATTCAATATAGTGTGACCATTGTTGAACATTGCTTCTATACTGTTCACCTCAGCTATTAGTCCAATACTCTATCAGCTCTTTCCTAGGGATGATATGATCTTGTGGATACAATGCGCAATACAAGAAACAATATTGGAGCTTTTCATCTTTTAGGCGACTATAATCTGAAAGATCAAGACTCAGTGCCTTAGCTATGTCACTCTGTAGTTTGCTAATGTTGAATGCTTTAGATACTGTGACCCAAATAACATCATCAAAGTTACAAGATTCATTCAGGAGTCAATTGTTAATGTGCTTCATGATGGTTGTTTTGCCGACTCCCCCCATTCCGAACACACCAATTGTTCTAACCTCATCATCCATTAAGTATTCCCAAACTTTCTCCATGTTCCTTTCACTTGTGGTTTCACCAAAAGATCCCATTGTTGGTCTGGACCATCCACTAGTTGGTAGTGCATCAATCAGCAAACCATTTGAAAATGTACCCTTCACTTGCAATTCTTCCACCTCTTGAATCTTCTCCATGACAAGCTTTCCCAACCGTGCACGTGAGAAGACATGCTTCCATCCAACTACTTCTTCCTCAAGTCTTTGCAAAGTTCGCACATCACCTTTCACTGTTTTCACTTCTCCAAGCCAAACTTCAACTTCTTGCTTTCGTCTTTTCAATGACCGCTCTGCACTGCTCAGCTCTGTATTTATATCATCCTCTTGACAGCTCAAGTACTCTATCTTTCTTTTGAGATTTTTCATGTTTGCATCAAGGCTATTGATATATACAACCCATTTTCCAATTGCTTCCAATGCATTCTTCCCAATTTCAAAAATGGAACCCAAGAATTCCATGGTGTGGTCTGTTCCTGCAAATACAGAAATTAGTCCATGGGGTGTTTTAAAAAAATTAGTCCATGGGGTGTTTCAAAACTAGCCATAATTTTCACTTTTGTGCAGAAAGCGTTTAAAAACTTAAGAAAACAACTTTAAAATGTTTCTTAAAACATGGGATGTTTTAAAAAAAAAAATCAAAAACAATTTGTTTGACAAATTTTTAAATCAGTTTCCATTTGCCATTTCTAAGAAAAAATAAATTTTGAAAACTATAAAAATCACAGTAAATCAACTTTATGCTGATTTAAAGCCTGAAGCTAACAAAGTTTTAGGGTGTAATTTGCCACCAAACTAAGATACTCGATTTTCTGTCGACTTAACCAGTGTTCAATTCATCGAACCAAAAAGACAAAACTATCGATCTTTTTCTTCTTTTTTTTTTTCTTTTTTGATAAATTCTTTTTATTTTTTTTGTCAATCGATAGCAAAGTAATTACAAATATGAGAAATATTATATCAGATAGACCACCAACCAAACAAAAGCTAGAAAGTCACCAAACCTAACAACCAATCACCAAGCCACGCCCAACAATCACTAAAAGCTACATATAACCACATAATGGGGAGAAACAAAATATCAAACTCCAAGGAAAAGATCATTTATACCAATACTGACAAGATTGTTTTATCAGGTAATGGAGATACTCTAAACATTCCATTAGTTAATTTATCAACGTTCCAACAAAAATACTTGTATGCATCAAAAACCCCAAGTCCAGCAGGGTAGATTCATTAAAAAATGACAAATTTTAGAGGATGGGGCCGCTACAGTTGGTGGCGAACTCGCTTTGGGGAAAATTTTATTAGTATCACTTTGATGAATGTGGTATCGACATTCGGTCGGTCACACCATTAGGGTCAGCAAGAAGAGAAAATTCTATCTACTTGAGTTGAACCCGAGACCTCCAGCCTAACAATAACTAAAAAGTCACCAAACCTAATAATCAATTACCAAGCCAAAGTCCAACAATCACTAATTGCTACATACAACCCCCGAAGAAACAACTATCAAACTCCTGACTTGAACCCCAGACCTCACAAAGTGAGAGTTGAACCCGACACCACATAACCACCAGACCAAAGACCCAACCTCGTTAACAAGACTATCACCTTAGCTTTGTTTTGTTTGGTTAAGTTTTGAGACTCAAAAAAAATTAAATTAAATTAAATTAAAAATTAATTTGACAAAAATAAACACAAATATATATATATATATATATCTAAAATTTTAAAATCATTTCCACTATTTAAAAAAGAGAGAGAAAATTATATAGAAATAATAAGAGCTTGTTTGGCATCTAAATAAGTGTACTTATTTAAATAAATATATTTATTTAGGTCATCGCTCTATTTTTCTGGGCATCACTTATTTTGTTTGGCATTTTTTTTTTTCATTTTTTCCACTAAATTAGTTTTAAATTTTTTTTTTTTTTTTTCCCAGAATATGAAAACTCAATCAAACAGAATGCATTCATAGATACAAAAAGAAATGTAGGTCATACAAATTCTATCGAAAAGCAGAAAAAGAATCATAATAATTATATATCTGTATATTATACCTATGATTTAATGAAAAGTTGGAAAAATGGATGGAATACAAACATATATAGAGATCCAAAGAGGTCGACTAAAATCACTGAATCCAACTTTGAGATTTCCTCAACCGTGCCATAGAGGTGAGATCTACGCAAGCCTCTGAGATCCACCCCGAGAGCGAGAGAGAAGCCGGAAAATCAGAAACGGGTAAAGGAGTCTGTAGATCAATATGGTATTTTTGGGGTTATTTTAAGACAAGACCATCTCTCATCTCATCTTTTATTAAATTTAAATTTAAATTTAATAAAATAATATTTTAATTATTGGGAGCTTTTTTGATAAATCTATTTTCTAAGAATTTTATTCCATCCAACTCATATTCTTTTTTACTATTCCATTAGGTCCAATTTGAGATAAGAAGACCAAAATACCCTTTTCATCTACTTATGTTCCATTTAGTTCACATTATTTTCTGATATTTCAATAAGTCCTATGGGTGACATAATTACCGAAATACCCCTAATGTGAATGTTCACACCGTCAATATGAATGTTCATATCGTCAATGTGTAGGGGCCCGGCCCATGTCGATCCTCGTGGGCACTCATTAAACACCCCGGGGAGGGATAAAAAAATGAGAGAATAAAGAATAGAGAGGTGTAAGTTGAGAGAAAAAGTGAGCCAAAGGGATTTTGTGAAAAAAAAAAAACCCGAGCTTGAGTGCCAGAGGGATGTGAGGATCACAAATAAGAAAGGGGGGGAAACACTACCCGGAGAAACTGGCTCCTCGCGAAC